ACATTTAACTTAAAGAGTATAGGATCAATCTGGAAGAAAAATTGAACAAAAAGTAAGTAAAAGAAAACCAAGAATGAAACGTAATAGAGTTTTTCATACAAATAAACCAATATTCAGGGTCAGAGTATGATAATTTATTATCCACATTTAAATCTGTCGAATAGCATGATTATATGTTTCATACTGATGCTTTGAGCATACGTTCAGGAAAAACTAATGCTCATTTATCCGCTTATGTGTGTTGCTATAAAACTGAGATGGGCACTTGTATAAATGCAGTATAGTATATGGGCAGCAACCTACTGTCAGTGCCGCCCAGTCGGTACAGTGGTCAGGGAAGCTGACTGCGATGCGGAAGAGCCTGGGTTCGAATCCTAGAGAAGGCATGGTTGTAACTGTCCGTCCCATCATAGGACAGGCGATGGTGGCCCATCTATTAGGTGCCTCCATAATAAAGAGACCACCACATCCGGCCTTGTATAGATTAATGAACTGCGTTACATTTGTAATTGTTCACAATCTGCCATTGGGGGAAAAAAACCTACTGTCAGTCGTGAATCTTTTATCTGGTGCAAAAATAAAAGCAGTTAATTTATCATCATCTGATGCTTTTAAATTTGCAGACCTCTGAAGAAACACCCAGGCATATTGTTAATTAAGTGGTGGGGAATTATTAAACAGGATAACAGCATTTTAAAAGCAGAAACTCATGAACTAAAGAAACTGGGTGGGAAAAACCATTTCACATCTTTAAACAATATTTGCCCATAACAGACATCTACTATACATAATACTATGTATATATGTTGGGTTTAAGTAAGTTAAGAAATTCACTTGAAATGGCTCTCAATATTGGTTTTGAAAAGTGCTAGCAATTAATTTAAGAATGACGCCATTGTTACATAAAGTACCCTTATCCGTCAATGAGGTGGTATCTTCGATTAATTTCATATTTTTACTACCGACTAAAAGTTAAAAATGTGAAAGCACGTCTATTCCAACGATAGGTTTATTGATATCTGCAATCATTAAAAGGCTAGCTGAAAAGTCTGCTTAACTCCAGATAAAATTCCAACAGTTTTTGATCATACGTTTTGATTGTCGTACTGTTAGCTGCAAACAACTCAAGTTTATATACAGTTCTTTTCTCAGATGACGATGGTCGGATAACCAATGTTTCTGCTCCAGTGTGAATTAAAAAAATGTGTTGGTGGTGCGTTGTCACGAATATATAGACGACTCAGCTCGACCCCTTGAATTTTGGTCGCCACTGAAAGCCGAGGATTCAGTTTCCCTGTTTTAAACCCTCTTATTTGCATGTAGGTAAGCTCTCTCGCTAAAACGTTACTGAAGATAACAGTTATTTCTGTCACTGTTATTTTTGGAACGATTTATTGCATTTGATCTGTACCTTCATCTTCGTGGACTGGAATCTCTACATCTACTCATTTCGATTATCTGAGGTGCTAAGTTTGGCATCTACTTCTCAAAATCTTAGGCGATATTGTTATCAGATGGTGAAGAAACAATGCGAACTATCAGAGTTGAATTGGGATTGAATTCCCTTATCTTGTCAACCATTGTCGAAAGTCTGGACAAATCATTGCTGTTTACAGACAAAATGATTCGCATATTAAGCGAAGTCGCATATTAATACTTCGGATATTAGTCATTGCACCAAGGTTTTCAAAAATTAATCCGGCACCTGCTCCGTCGCCAAGCTGCGCATTTCCCAGAGATGTTGGGATGGTTTCCTGTCACCCAATTCTAATTTAGTCAGAATTTTCTGAGTTTTTTTTTTGTGTTTCAGAATCGGCAAAAAATTCAGAAAGGTCTCTTCAATAAGCCTCGAACTGACTACATAGTCAGATTTTGCTTGATCAGTCGAAACTCCAGCCTTGCGAAATTATGTTTCAATCTGAAAGGATCACATTTTTTTTGGGGGGGGATTTCCAAAAAGAAGGAACTTGAGGACTTACCCTGGCATTTGTAAAGCTCTCCGATGCTGTTTCACCATTTTCGGTTGTAGTCATTTAATTGCTATCAATCAAACACGAACGCGGTTACAATTTATAAGTTCGTTGATTAAGGACAAATGTTTAAAGTATGCAGTAGGGAACAAACTTCTTTGAATAAATTTATTAACTAGATAACAGGAGTAAACCAAATAATAACGAGTTCTTCTCTCTCATTTTTTTCATATAAAAATTTCTAACGTTTATTTTCTAATTCCAAACTTTTTTCCTGCTGCCCTTGAGAAAAAGGAACTCCCAATGCGAAGAGTTTGACAGATAGCATTCTAGTATTCTAAACAATGTCAGCACAAATGACATGTTAGAGTCAACACTGAAGTCAAAATTGAAAATGAAATTCTAACAGTTTTAAATTCTTACAAGTATATCGGGATTATTACTGATCAACGCCTGACTTTCAAAGGACATATTACTTCTACAGAAGATAAGGCAAATGCGGCACTTTGGCTATTGCATTAAAGGAAGAAAATATAAATTAATCATCCGCATGTAAAGAACTCTTTATTTAACCTTAATTCCCCGTATCATGCTCTACGCAGTCCCGACTTGGGCAACTGCTTTGAAGACAGGAAGATTAAAGTTCAACGTCTTGCCGGGAAAAAAATAAATCGAAAGCCATAACAAACGCTGCGTGGTTTGTTCGAAATTCGCACTTCCATGAAGAATTAAATATAAAATGCATCCATGAAGAAATCCTAATCACAGCACATAATTTCTTTCAAAAAATGCAAAATTCTCCTTATCGAGCCGTTCAAGAAATTGCAAACAGTTGAAAACACTGTTAAAAGAACGATTCACTACAACTCACGCTGGCGGTAGAAAATCTGCACATATGTAAATAGAAATTTTCCTTCTCCTTGAATTACCTGGTACAGCAGGTTAAGGACTTTACTTATCAACTATTAGTTACTTCATTTATTTAACCATCATTATCATTCAAAGCTTTAGTGTGTTTGTAAAAATTACTACTAAAGTTTGAGCATGAGCGTTCGTCATTAGCCAAATCACACCACGTGACTTTACTTACATTCATTTCCAATTCGTCGGCCTGCAGTATGCGACTTCAATCCTAAAAATGATTTTCACAATTATTTCTCCCTTAACGCAAATTATGAAAGTGAAAACTTTCCCATTAGCTTGTTCATGTCACGTGATCAAGAAATCGTAAGTTTCAACATTCTGCATGTCTAAAACACTGAGTAAACAGTGTATATATAAATTAGAGACTAACTTTCAGACAGCAGTGCTTAATTCACTCGCTGATAAGAACTTTCTGATTCTGTAAAATTAGCTTTGAACTTTTGACTGTGCCAAAATAACAGCGTCGCCTCCGGGTGTAAGGTGCGATTGCAACATAATTTAAAAAATACCGTGATTGACCTTGGAGCAATTAACTAAATCGACTAGTAAAAACTCACAGAAGTTGAAGCTAGTAGCAAAGTGATGATCCGTGTTCCGAGGTAATTTGATTGGCCAGTGTCAGCAGTTCTTATGCATGCCGGCGTTCCTCAGGGAAATTTACTTTCACATAAAATGTTCAACATATTTGTTAATGATATTCCCAAATCACCTAGTGTCGATCTAACTTTATATGCGGACGACACGGCCATCATTTCTCAACATTCTAATATCACCACAGTAATTTCTGTATTGCAGAATTATCTTTCAAGCCTAGAGCTCTTGTTCGGACTGTAGAAAATTAAAATTAATGTCGCAAAATGTGCTACCACTTTATTCATCCGAAGAACTCACCCCAGTTTACCTAACTTGCAGTTCTTCGAAGAACCAATACACTTGGTTCCTACTTACAACTATCTAGGAGTGATACTTGATTCTAAATTAACTTTGCAACCTCACATTCGAAAAACAATCTCTAATGAGAAGGTTGTCAAATCCCAAGTATTGCCATTTTTCGCTACAAAAAGCGACCTGTCCAAGCAAAACAAGATCGCGCTCTACAAATCAAATGATAAGGCCTTTTGACATATGCAAGTCCCGTATGGGACGTAGCAGCAATTACTAACAGGAAACAGATAAAAATTTTCCAAAATATTATGTTACGGCAAATTTACAAAGCTTCTTGGTTTGTTACGAACAAGGATATTCATAACGCTATCAAAACTCTTCCCTTGAATCTCTTTTTACAACGACTTTTGGTAAACATTTTCAAAAAGATTCCTTCGATCGGAAACCCCGTTTTTCATGCTTCGCCTATTTATCATCCTGGAAATAGTTCTTCAAAGAAAAGACCCCAATTTTCCAGAGCTACTCTGGAAAACGCATATAATACGTTACCATTTTCTAAGAGACGTTGCTATGGGGGAGGAGGCGCCTCGAAGCTATCACTCTACTCACTCGATGCAGCGCCCCGCCTGAGCAAATTCGCTGTTCTTTCAGTTTCGTTCAGGATCACTCTCTTTGTCTCGTAAACGGGCTTTATTATCTCTTTCAATCGTAAGCAGCTGCAATTTAACTTAAGCACTTCCCTGTTAAAAAGGTTCGGGTGTACTTTCTAATGTTAAACTTTAATCTTTTTAAGAGAATTTATCTTATGTATTATTGGATCATAACACTTAAATTTACTTATTTATTTATCAATCCAGTTTCTCCTCAGAGGCGGATCGGGCCCTGTTTCTATAAATCTAACTAGCCTAACGAGTTCCCCCACCTCTCCCTTCCCAGACACGAATTACTTGCTACGTGAATGACCTTTCGCGAGTGGTTCCTTTCTCGTGTTGTTACACCACATGACCAATCTTTCAAAATCTTTTCAAAATTCATGATGTCACTCTTAAAAATTGATTCTGGACCTTTTTCGATATCAAAATTGTTAAATTAAGTCCTTCAGTGTGTTTACCTTCTTTCACTGTGGAAGACAGTTTACCATTTGCTTATTTTTGACAGTTTACCAATTCAATACTACATTTACCTCTTTGAAGATCCCTCTTTTTGGTGATAATAATTCATGTTTGTTGATATGGGGATAAAGGCATTAAGCCTATGAGCCTCGTTTGAAACCTTCCTTGTAATTGATTCCTTGGTTCTTGGTCCTGGCAATTCTAACGTCAAGAATTTTGCTAATGTTAACGGCTCTTGCTAGCGGTGTATACTCGTGGTAGATATCAGGCTTCTTTTTGTTTAAGCTCAGAATATCGCATATATTACCTTCGCATCTGAAAGACATCGTAAAATTCTTTCGTTTCATTGAAGCTTGCTTCCTTGTTTCACATGCACAGCTCTAATTTTTTAATGTCATTTTTTTATACCTTAGACAAGTATTTTGAGCCCTTCAATATGCATTTAAATTAGTCTGGCCAATTTTTATATCCGAAATAGTGTATCATGTAATATGGCTTGTTTGACATTATTGGCCTTACGAAATTTAAAGTTAAATATCGGCAACACCGGTGTTTGTTATGTTAAGTAGGTGAAATAATAAATCGACGTTTTCATGTAAAATGCTTCTCTGAAATACGAATGGTTAATCTGTCGTACGTTTAATTAAAAACTTTATCATGATCGAAAATCAGATCATGAATAATTTAATTGTAGTAAACATGGATGCATATCCTTGCGATGCTGATATAGCTAATATGGATTCGTTTCCTTCCGATGCTGATATAGTTAATATGATAGATTCATTTTCTTGCGAGGCTGATATAGCTAATATAGATTCATTTTCTTGCGATGCTGATATAATTAATTTAGATGCATTTCCTTGTGATGATGGTGCAGTGAAAGTGGATGAATTGCCAGATAGTGCTGATATAATTAGTTTGACTGCAGTGCTTAGTGGTGCTGATGTAGATGAAATGAAATTTCCGTGCGATGTTTGTAATCAGCACTTTAAAAATAAATCGCAGCTTGCGGAGCATTCTCTCACTCACATAGAATTAAAACCATATGCCTGTAAAATTTGCAAGAAACGTTTCCGACAAAAAAATTACCTTCGAAATCATTCATATACTCATTCAGAAATAAAATCCTTTTCTTGTAGTGTCTGTAAAAAGCTTTTCAAAGTTGAGCGAGATCTTAAGCTACACTATAAAACACACACAGGAGAAAAACAATTTAAACCTTTTGTATGTGAGGTTTGTAAAAAAGGGTTTACTCGCAAGCGTCACCTTGAAGAGCATGAACTTACTCATACAGGTGAAAAACCATTTGCTTGTGAAGTGTGTAAGAAATGCTACAGAGTTAAAAGTCAACTTTATTATCACATGCGATCGCATTCAGCAGAGAAACCATATAAGTGTGAAATTTGTAAGAAAGCCTTTACAAAAAAGTGTAGCCTTCAAGTACATTATGTGAAGCATAGACGTGGAGAGTATTTTGCTTGTGGGGAATGTGATAAAACATTTACAAACAAAGAACAATTTAATGAACATAGCATTTCACACACTGGGAAAAAACCATATGCGTGTGATGTGTGTAGGAAGTGTTTCGGTAACAGAAAAAATCGCGATATGCATTTTCTTACACATTCCTTAGGAAAACCTTATGCATGTGATGTTTGTGATAAAACATTTACAAAAAGGGATGCACTTAAAATTCATTCTAGAACACATACTGGAGATAAACCATTTAAATGTACGTTTTGTGATAAAGGTTTCTTACGTAAAGATTCTCTTGAAGAGCATCATCGTGTCCATACAGGAGAAAAACCTTATATATGTGATATATGCAAGAGAGGTTTTAGTCAAAAAAATAATCTCGAAAGACATATAAAAACGCATGCCAAGGAAAAATATGTTTGTACTGTTTGCAATAAAAATTTTGCAGATAAAGAGAAATTAACAGCACATACCTGTACCCAGTCGCAGTCTGATCCATAGCGAAGCTTTCAATTTAAAAGTATTGGCTATGTTTTAAAAACTACAAGCAGGAAACTGCATATCTCTAGTATGTTTTATGACATAGCTTTTGCAAAAATTAATTTTTTGTTAAACATAAAGCTTTTTTCAAAGAAATTTAATGTTACTGTATAAAATATCACAATAATATAATTTTATATATATAAATAATATTAACAACAATAAACTCTTTTTGAGCTATGAGAAATATTTTAAATAATATTAACTTTGGCATTTTCTGATTATCTCTACTTCCCACCAAAAAGTCATAAACTCATTGCTGACTTCAGAGAGCATCCACAAACTTGTAAGTAACTTTGGAGAGGTACGTTTGTTTGGATATATTTACATTTTTTCAACAACACATCTAGTGCAATCTATTTTTACTTTCTTGTACAAAGTAAAGGAAGTATTGTAATCACGAAAAATTTCAGATTTGAACGGAAATATCCATTTTAACTATATTTTTGTGCGACATCTGTGCATATATGCAGAATAGAAGACTGTTTTTTTCCAAAACCTATAGTATAATGGCTTCAAAAGTGACTGCTGTAACATTTAGTTGTGCATCTCCCTTTTTTCATTGCAACACCATTACTGAGTGTGTGTAGGTATGTATATATATATTGTAATATATACAATATGTATATTTACATACACATATTCAGTATATTTATATGTATGGATAATGAAGTTAAAAGTCAGAACTTAAATTAAATATAAATTTAGTTAAAAAATATATAAAGCTCTACCTATCTCTGTCTCCAGGAAATGGTTACGAAAACTGAGTAAACACAAGTGAAGGGTACAATAAAAAAAGTAAATGATTGAAGAAAATTTTGAAAACTACAGAACATGAGACTAAAAAAATACAAATTGCAATAAAATTGCCCGAAAAATTAATCTCCTCTGTTTAACACTTCAAACAGAACTTCTCAAGGGAAAAGTGTTTTGAAGCCTTAAAATAAGTTGATTAATGAGTTTCGAATACGTGTTTTGTTCCTCTGGATCATTTGAGACTTTAAACCACTTTTTCAAAATTTAAATCGTAAATTTTAATGTATACTGGGTGATTCTAAATTGTTTTTGCAAATTGAGAGGAGTGATAGTATTCTTCCAGATGAGCAGTAATTACCATAGAACATAGGGTCGCATTTTTCTCTGAGAGGCAGAAAATAGATATACAGTCAAAAGTCGTTAATTCGGACACCCATAATCCGGACCTCAAAGCTAAAAACTTTCTGCGCATGCGCCGCGTCGACACATGCGCGCGTGCGCGTAAGTTTGCGCATATGCGTGTGCGCAACGCACAATACGTTTTCGCGTGCGCTTTTATGTATAACGGACGGTATAAGCTAAAATTATCTAATTATCTAATTCAGTTAATGTTGCATGATTGCATTGCGTTGTTCCTTAATCTTCGAATTTGGATCCAGCTTATTATTTTTTGCAGCCTGTTAGAGCAATTTTATAAAAGTAAGCTTGAACTTTCGATTATGTCAAAATAGAATTTCCAATTCTGGAGCTCCCGAAGGATCTACAAAGCGAAAGTGTTTTGATGTCCATCAAACAAAAGTGGAATTGCTGCAAAAAATGGATAAAGGCATATCCTTTGTTTCTCTAACCATTCCGAAATCTGTTTATCAATTTCATGCTGCTCTGCGGGGGGGGGACGTGGCGGTGCGCAATGAACTGGAAGTTGATCTGTCAGCACTATCCTTATCTTCAGGGCAGATGTTTTTATTTTATTCAGCTTATAATTCCTTACTAAATGTGTAGTATTTCATCTTGATGTACTTCATCTTTGATATGATTTAAATGAAATTCCTCGTCATTATAAATATCACGAATACACATCAAATAGTTTTCTGGTTGCAATTTTCTAATTTCGACTATGTAATGTATGCTTTATGCATGTGCGCGTTGAAAGAAATGTTTAATAAAGTAAACAAATAAATATTAAAGCTTTTTTTTTGTAAATTTTGATACCCTTTAGATCATAATTGCTCTTTATTTTATAAATTACGGTTTCATATTTTTAATTTTATAATTTCTGCATGCCATCTTACCAGATTTAAACTGATGATCGATAATCCGGAATCACCGAAGTCCGGATGAAAGACTTTTGACTGTATTAGAATTCCAATCTGAACTTAAGATATTGTTGGGAGAGTGAAAGAACGAAACCAAAAGTTTCACAGTTTAGGGAAAAACTTGCAGAGTGCACAAAACAGAAAACTGAAAACTTTCCGTTTTAGTGTTAATTCAAGCTTAGACTTTGATGGCAAACACTAAAATGCACATCTTTGGTTGGCAACGTCTCAACCTCAATGATTGCAACAAGTTAATTATCTAAATTATTAGGGGTGGGAACTACTATTTTGATATCAAGTACCAAGGTAACAGTTTTTTCCTCTTCGCCATCTTCTATCCTGTCCTCCTGGACTTGCTGTGCTGCTCCCATTCTACTTGAAGCGCCCTGCTAATGGGGTAAGAAGTTCTGACAGCCGAAACACAGCATGAACTTTTCATTCTAATCATGGCATATAGCGGAAGTTGGAGTTAGTTGATAATATTCAGCCCTTGATTAGATAATTAACTTGTTGCAATCGTTTGCGAGGTTGAGACCTTGCCAACCAAAAATGTGTATTTGAGTATGTGCCATCAAAGTCTGAGCTTGAATCAACACTCGAATGTCAAGCTTTCAGTTGTATCCATTTTGTGCACTCTCTGTGAGTTTTTCACTAAACTGATTGTGCAATTTTTGGTCTCGTTCATTTGCTCTTCCAATACTGTTGTAAGCTCAGGTAGGAATTCTAATATTCCTCTTTTCTGCCTCTCAGAGTGAAATGTGACCCTATGTTCTATGGTAATTACTGCTCATCTGAATGAGTGCTATCTTCCCTCTTAATTTGTAAAAACAATTTAGAATCACCCTTTATATGCACATACCCATCCCTGCAATTGGCCTTTATTTTCACAATAATTGGTTGTAGTCATATGTTACAGAAGTGTTTTAAATGATAAAAGTATTCATGTTTTGGCAATGTCAAATTTTTTTTAAAAAATGCTTTCTAACAAATAGCATAATCTAACTTTAATATGGTTTCCTGGTTCCTATTCTTATATTTAGGGTTTTTTTATACTCATTATGAAAAAATAAATTGAAGAAGTTTGACTCCCATACAACAGAAACTGACCTTTATACTTAAAATTTCAAAATTTGCAGTTTTGTCATTTTCAACTTACCTTTAGAGATCAATTAATTAAGTTAGAATAATTCAAAGAAATAAGTTTAAATGAAGTGTTGCAAAAAATGTGTATAATTTAATAGGTCTAACAAGGAAGTCATGTGGTTAAGAAATAAGGTATTTTTAACATTATTTTTCTGTACAAGACATGCATATTTTTTGTCGCTGTTATTCACCCCATGTAGACAGTGGTATGATTTTAATTAAAAAAATATAGGGATTTGCACAAATTCAGCATCACTCGCAACTGCAAACTTAAGATCTAGAAAAGAAGGGGCACCATGCCTATAAGCAAACTTCATTACATTCTACGTAAGCTAAGTCCAAAATTTCTTCACGATGATGAAAACTGCAGTATGCTATAACATTAGAACTCCTATAAGAGGGATCATAATGTGCATTGACATTGATGAAAATTTCTGAAGAATTGGAAAACTGTCTTAGGAGCTGTTATACCACATGCATGATTGACACATAAATACTTTTTGCTGACATCTTGGTTTACCATATGAATACATCTGGCAACAAGGTGCATTATATTTATCAGAACTTTTTCCTGGCTTTTCAGTGAAGGTGCAGATAATCAGAAAGTAACTATGTTCTTTGTACTTGAATAACACAAAAGTCTCTTAGATACAAGCAGAAACAAAATGTTTAAAAATCGATTCACCATTAGTACTTAAAACATAGGGCTTAATTTCTAAAATTAGAAATGCTAGGTCTGATAGGTTATCAGATAAGATAAATAGAAATGACAAATAGCTAAATAAAATGTAAAGATATAAAACAGTAAATTAATGGCAAAAAGTTAAATAACTAATTAAAAATACCAGAATTTATTTTATTTCAGGCTCTGACTTGAATTATTATTTTATTAAAAAAACTGAGAAATGCATAACTGATGAAACAAATTATTAAAAAGGTAAACATTATTATATGTGTGGCTGAAAGTTATTATCTAATGTAAGCTTACAATTTTGCTGTTTTGTAGTGATGTCCAGTGGAAATCAAAATTTAATCCCATATGTTAAGGGAATATTCTAATTTGAGGTGTATATTATAATTCTCATTAAGATTACAAATGTTAATAGTTAATTACGATGTTAGTGCATACTGAGCTCTAATTTCCCAGTCATATGGAATTTGTAGTTTAGAATTTCTCAGTGGATCATTTATGGCATGTAAAACAATATAGTGTTAATTAGTAGTATATCTAAAAGAAGTATAGTAACTTAAACTTTAAAATTAGGCAAATTAAACCTTAGATTGTTATTAATGTTAAAGAAAAACTGTTTACATTTTGAGAAATCTTCTTCAAGGTGTGAGATTATTGAATACCAGCCTAAGAATACATTTTGCCCAATTTTAAATGCTTTATGTGTCTGTGATTCTTCAGAAATGTTAATCTTGTAAAAGTCTGCAATTGCACGATGTTAATAAAATTCCACTTACAACAAATGTATATAGAATAATAATTAGACTAATGAATTAAATGTGTCTCAAACTCAGTTTGCATGTGGGCTGAATGTGTAGTCTGAAAGCAAATGATGGACCAGATTTTTTTTTAACAAAATGACAGTGAATATATATATTTAGATATATATATAGAGAGAAAGAGATATATATTGAAAAGGTATACACAATTCTGAATGGTAGTATTGTTATAATGCAATCTAACAGTATGCACAAATAAATAAGTTTAATAAGCTGTACATTAGTATGTCACAATCTGTACAGCCATATGAACTATACAGCTATGCATCCAGCTAAGCAACTGGTGACAAATTCAAGGAAAGTCTATAACAGAAGTGCCAACTTAATGAAAAAACATGAAAACATCAGAATACTAAAGCATTATCAACTGTTTTCTTGCAAAATAAATTTACTGATTGTACCAATACAAGAAGTTCTCCCACATTAACCAGGTCAAGTGGCCTAGCATACAAGCACGTAATTGACAAAGTATTAATATATTCATTCTCTTTTTTCATTCAACAGCAGTCATGTGCATAAGTCTCTACAGCTTCAATATAAACACTATACTTGCAACAAAAACAAATATGTAATTTAAATGTACTTATTGGCCATAAAAATTGCTTTGGGGGCTGGATGTAGCCCATGAGCTAGCAGTTTAAGATCACTGTATTGAATAATGATGATAAAAATTCAAGCAGATATGTACAGAAGTTTTTAAATGTTAAAAATATTTATTGTATTGATAAATAATGTTACAAACCATATTAGCATGGATTTGTAATGAAAGTTTTATACCTTTCAAAAGCATGGTAATTAAAGAACTGTGATTGATATTTTAAAACACAGTTCAGTAAAGTTATGTGTAATTTTAGCTTTTGCCTCTCATTTTACTAAAATGTAAGAATTGTTATGAATGTGTAGAGCATCGATGCAGTTGTATGTTTTACTCTGATGTGTGACAACTAGTATGTGTTTTAATACAAAGCTTTAACTGTCATTTATCTTTTTGAATGTTTTACATTCTAATGATACATAATTATAATAACTTTAGTGAGTAACTATATTTGTCTTTAAACTTTAGTGATTAACTATATTTGTCATCCTTCTTTACCAGCAATTAGCTATGAATGTCAACATTTTTAAATGCACTATATAGGCACGTTCTGTAGGCAATATATATCTCAAGCACTGTTTAATTCTAGCCTTTAAACTCAGAATTAGTTTGTAGTGTGCAATATAATTAATGATTTTCAAATATTAACTAAGAGCATTTTCTTAAAATTTTTATGAGACATGTCCTGCAAAATATTTCCCAGCTATAAAACTTGCCAACTGTATTCAAAGAATTTTAAATAAAAAGTTGTGCTCATGAGCAGAACTTAGTTTCTGAAATAAAAAGATTAAAAATCCTATTGAAAAGGCAATAAAACAGTAACTAAATAATAATATTTAGTATGCATTAGAAGACATTAATATATTTATAAAAAATTAAGAAT